TCTCAAACTTTTCTATAGTCTCAAACTTTTCTATAGTCTCAAACTTTGTTGATTTGTTGTTTTGTGTCAAAAAGAAATCATCTGTTTAAAATCTGTTCCAGCTTTCTTTTCCATTTAAAAATAGGTGGAAGGACTACATTTTGGAGGTTTTAAAGATCCCCATATACATCAAAAAAACTTCCAAGCTTCACTCTTCAATTACTAAATTTCTTTGGAAGAGCCTATTCTATCCATCCTAAATTAGTGTGTAAGTTATACCAAACAATATAAGGTACTTTAGTGCAAACATAACAGCATTCTTTAAGCAGCTGGAAAGAGCTTAGTGTTTTTTTGGAGAAAAAATAAATTTTAAGCCACTGAAGTAATTCTGTACAATTGGTAATGCCATCTTTTGAGTGAACCATTAAACTGAGGGCCCTGCCATCACACTATTTCCAAATAGGGTAAGAGAGTTCTGGCCAGCTTCCTAATGTGCATTCATCTTCTAACTAATACCAGCAAAACAGATTATCTGGTGGTCATCTCTATGCTGTCTGCTGTGCACCAATTGGTTGCCACATTTCCTACATTGCAATAGTGGCTTGCCATTCAAAATTACTTCATTAGTTAGGATGTCCTGAGACTGAGAGGCTATTTGTACGTAGGATTTTTCTTTTCTTGTAGAGACCGACATTAGCACAGACCTGATTGACAGAATTATGTTTTCTCCTGTGAAAGTTTCCTTGGAGTACGTGACTTACAAATAGGTGATTCTTTAAAAATCATGTCAAGTTATCCAATGAATTATTGTCATGAGGTATTTGAACAAATGACTGCTAAATTTGGAAATAAGCATTGTTAACACAAGAAATCAACATTCGTGGAAATTAAAACAAGAGAATATCTATCACTTTCCCTCAGATATGCTAGATAAGGTGAATGCTGGGTGTCTTTTTCCCTAGGGTGGGGGATTTCAAGACTGGAGGGCATATTTTTAAGGTGAGAGGAGAAAGATTTAAAAATAAATGTGGGGGTGCAAATGTTTTAAACAGCAAGTGGTTCATAGAATCATAGAATCCCTACAGTGTGGAAACTGGCTCTTTGGCCCAACAAGTTCACACCAACCCTTAGAACATCCCACCCAGACCCATCCCCATATAAATCACTGAATCTACACATCCCTGCAAACTACAGGTAATTTAGTATGGCCAATCCACCTAGCCTGCACATCTTTGGACTGTGGCAGGAAACCCATGCAGACACAGGGACAATGTGCAAACTCCACACAAACAGTCACCCGAGGGTGGAATCGAACCCGAGTTCCTGGCGCTGTGAGGCAGCAGTGCTAACCACTGAGTTCGTGTGTGGAATGAACTTCCGGAGGAACTGGTGGCTGTGGGAAAAGTTACAACATTTAAAAGACATTTGGATAAGTACATAAATAAGAAAGTTTTGGAGGGATATGGGCCAGGCATCGGCAGGTGGGACTAGCTTAGTTTGGGTTTATGGTCGGCATGGACTGGTTGGACCAAAGGGTCTGTATGACTCTATAACTGATTCTTTCCATATCCATGGACCCAGTTCGGAGCATCACCAAGTCAGTCGACTAAGTTTTTGTTTTCTCAATTCTAACTGTAGAATAATAGATCACATATAAAATATGCATGTCATATGTCTCCTTCATTGGGTTAAAAGCGCAGAATCAGAAATCAAAATCAAACCTCAATTGTCTTTCGTAAATGAGAACCTGTTGCAGAGCATCTATTTAGCATAATTTCAAACAAATTACACAATTCCAAATTATTGGCAAGCCTGGGACTTATAGCCCAGGATTTGTTAATTGTATTTAACCTCAGTCCTAAGCAAAGCCAGACTGTGTTTGATGTTGAGAGTGTGAAATTATACATTTTGTCAAGGAGGCTGAACAGTCTATTGGCTTACTGCAGACAAACCAGCAGAATTGACTTTCCTTTATGGAACAATTATGCATTAATATTAACATTGCAGTCATTTTGTTTGTTTAATTCTGCTTTATAAACTGGCTGAAAGAACCATCATACTTTTAGAGATGTCAGGAACCAGTGTGAAAACATTTCCACAACCAGCTAAACTAGCTGTGAATGGCATGAGAGAATTGGATTTTCTCTCTTGACCGTGTCCCCTGGTTCTAGACACCCAGGTGTATCTAGCCCCTTAATTCGTAAAATTCAGTGAGGTCCCCTCTCATTCTTCTCAACTCTAAGGAAAGTGGGCTTGCATTCTCTAATCTCTCTTCCATAGCAACAATTATTCCTTTAAAGAATTATATCAAGCCATCTAATGAATTATTCTCTGTGAAAATTTGAACAAATGGCTGCTACATTTGGAAATAAATGTTGAATCAAAGAAAAAAGTCATTAAAGCTATTGAAATTAAGTCCTTCAAACATGCTTCAAAATGATCTTCTATATCCACGTTTCCAGTTTGGTGAACCTCCACTGCATCCTCTCTAAGCAAGTGAATGGATAAGTTTGAGGATTTTTCTTGGGTAAGGAGACTAAGACTATGCACAATATTCCAGACGTAGTCTCACTAGTCTATATAATTGAAACATAACACTTTTACTCTTGTATTCAAACCTCTTGCATAAATGCCACATACCGTTTGCCTTCCTAATTGCTTGTTGCACGTGCATGTTAGTTTTCAGCAATATATGAACAGGAGCACCCAGGTCTTTTTGGACATCAACACTTCTTGCTACTTAAGATATACCCCTACCTATGTGGATAACGTCAACTTATCCAGATAATATTTCATCTGCAATGTTCTCACACACATCTAAGAAATCCCTTGAAGCCTGTTTACATACTCCTCATGACACATTCAGTTTTGTGACATCCACAAACTTCGAAATATTATTTATGATCCTCCCCCAAATCATTGACATAGACAATGAGAAACTGGGGCCTAAGTATTGATCCTTGTAGTACCCTTTAGGTTGTGGCCTGCCCACCTGAGAGTGACTGAATTCTGGCTTCAGATTTTCAATCCCTTCACTTAGCAAAGAGAATATTCGCGGCAGTAACAAGGCTGCAACAATCTTAGAGACTTATCTTGCTTTTATATTCATAAGGTAGCCATGATGTGGAGGTGCCGGTATTGGACTGGGGTGAACAAAGACAGAAGTCTCACGACATCAGGTTATAGACCAACAGGTTTATTTGAAATAACAAGCTTTCAGACTGCTGCTCTTTCATGAGGTCAAATAAACCTGTTGGACTATAACCTGGTGCTGTGTGACTTCTATTTTTATAAGGAACAACCATCCTTACTTTAAATTTTCATATTTGTATTTTAGCTCATAACTTTATCTTTTTTTACTTGGATAACTTTCAGCAATTGTGTGGTAATAAAATAATCTTTTATCTTGTTTAAAGCATAATGCTGTACTACTAGTTATTTCTAAATTGGAAAACTCAAAGGGAATAGAAACGAGTTATAAAAACTCATAGTTCATGCACCGCTCTAACGGCCTACGTAGTGTGATCATGACAGTGGCAATAGAATTGTTGTGGTCTCCTACCTCGTGTATGTTTAATTTAGGATTGTCTGAACTACTGGAGTTTTACATTTCCTCACTTTATCCTCAGAGGTTTACTCAAAGCATAAAGATTGATAGTGAGATGTCACGCCTGACACTGGAACATGGTACAATGAAAGGTCCACCAACTCAGTTAGAACGAACTGAAGAGATTGAAAAGAAGAGGCTCACCAAAAAGGCAAATATTCTAATAGATTTTTTAAAATTCCTGACAATGTACTTAGCATGGAAACAACAAATATTATGCATTAAAAATACAGTAATCTTGTAAAATTCAGCTTCTTGTAGATTATTGTGGTGGTATGAAAAGAACATAGCCCCTTTGTCTTTGGAAACTGCTATTTAAATCTATCCCGTCTGGAATGAAATGGTTCTTCATCAAACTAATGTGGTAACCGCAACCCTGTTTGTTTATCCGAATGAACCCCCAGCAATTTTGCAGAAATTGATAAAATCAGGGGCTGGATGTTGAAGAAGATAGAACTATTCATACTGATGCAGTAGATATGCTGTTGTAAGAGCTGGATTGGGATGCACACTGGAAAGACGTGGGAGTGCTTGTTGCAGACACTGGGAGCAAAAATTATATACACTTTTATGAACCAGTATTGAATTTTAATACATAACATGATGTAATTTCTAATTTCTCTAATTTGTTTGTCGTCAGTTCCTTCATATCTAACTTACAAGCCAAACAATGTTTCAATGTACATTAAATGCTTGTTGTCCAGCCATATTATTGAAGTTTGACTATTTTCACAGTTTGTAGCAGAGCATGTAGATGCACTGCATTCGACATTTGGATTTGAGGGTACAATCAACACATTTGACAACAATTTCTCTTCCAATCTGCTTGACCTGCTGGACAGATTAAGCATTTCAAGTACAAATGACTGCGAGCATAGTATGATCAATATAATATACAGGTAGGTCACTAGATTGGTTTACTTTCCAAATACAGCATTTGAAAACTGTTTACTGTTTTCTGTTACTACTACTGTTGATGTTGAATTCATTTGTTATTTGATTATTCTGCATAAAAATAGCCAAAAACAGCCAGCCTTAACAAGTGATTAGAATCATATTGTCTCTCAAGCCTATGATTAATTTTTTTCTGAAAAGTCAATGTTTTCATTTTGTGAACTTAATAGTTTCTTCCTATTAGCTTAAAATTGATAGAATCCTGGAAAATGATAGCACAGAAACTGGTCATTTTCCCTGGTATTATTTTCTGTATCAACTATCCTATGTAATCCCAGTCCCCTGTTCATGCCATTCTTTTTCCTAGGAATTTTAAAGAGGAAGTGTAATTCTATTTCAAACAAATTGGTGGTCTGTGCTTCAGCAATGATTGTACCAGAGAATTTATATTCTAACACCTGTTTGGGAAATGATATTTTCCTAATAGTTCCTTTAATTGCTGAATCCTTCGTCCTCCATTTGTGTGTCTCAGTCTGATGTCAAAACCTCATGAAACTTCACATTAATTACTCCTGTGTAAGGGTGCAAGGAACATTTCTAATACTTTGTCTTTTCCTGTTGATCTTCAGTTCTAATGATGCCCACTGAATATACCAAGATTAATCTCCAAAAAGCTTTCTATTGGAGAGGACTAATGTGAATGTTCCAGGGAAGAGTAGTTGGGTACAACTGAACGTCTTCTACTATCAGAATCAAATTGTTCACTTTTAAATCATGTTAAAGTAAATTATAACTATAATTCATAGCACAACATTCTCATGAGATGAAGAGAGAGATTTTGAAAACACAAGGCTTTTTAGTATCTAAAGAGATGCACACCGGATATTTCCTTTGGGCATTCTTAATTAGGTTCATAACACTGTGAGAAGATCAGCAATATTCCTGTTCACAAGGTTTATCCCGTTTTCACCGGAGTTACTCCAGCCAATCTGGATAGCCCCTGAAGGAAATTTCAGTAACTTATTCTGCTAGTAGATACTGGCTTAATATCTGCAAGCGAAATTAGTGACTGAGAAGCCAGGATTGGTAAATTGGGAAAATCATGTTGACTGTTCAAAGTAAATGGGAATATATTCTGGAGACTTGAAAGATAAATTAGTAACGCACATCTTCGATTTAATCCTTTTGATATATGGCCTTTAAATCACCAGGCTTTGCTTCCTATTTTCCTCACGGGTGTGATTGTTAGCATTCAACCTTTTTAATTGGGTAGAAGGAAGGCATTAGAGGCACTGCAAGCATCTCCTTATTTATAATTTAGGCGGTACATCAAAATGCTGACATAAAAGAGGCTATTGTAACATGACCGGCTGAGCACTTTCCACACATATGATGTTCTGCCATCTAGTGGAAGAGTTAAGAATGAATAAGCTTATCATTTAGTGATGAGCAATTTGGGACTATGAACCTGTGAAATTCAGGCCACAGTTCAGGCACTAGCATGTCATTGCAGAGTTAATGCTACTTTGATCCAGTTTCTTCATACTAATGCTTCAACTCCTATCATGCCACCCTGAGTGAATTTTGTATAGGACTGAGAAGAATTTCTCACAATCATCCTTGCAATTCAGAGTTTTTAAAATTCCTTTTATTACCTAAACAGATAAAATTATCTGAAACCACTCTTCTGTTTGTCCATTGCAGGTTAGATTTTAATGGATTCTACACTGAACGCCTTGAACACATGGCTGCAGAAAGGAGCAAACCGCAGGGCCCACAAGGATTTGTTACAAGAGCAGCTTTGGCTGCTCAGTAAGTTACTGGAAATGGCCTGTAAATTTACCATCATAATGATCAATAACTGCACGACACAATCAATATCTTGGTGTGTAATAACTGGCTGCTAGAAATTCATACTTAGCCATGCAAGTTATCAAATATGGAATCAGATTATTTTGAAGCTTTTGTGAATAAGATCCATTTGTTAATACTACATTAGTTTGCAACTAGCTGTCAGAAAGAAAAGTAAAATGGAGTTATTTCTGTATTCAGTATTTCTGAGCTTGGAGGGATTGGTGTGAATTCCAACTCCTGAGGAAATTTGTAACAAATCAGTAAGCCTTCTCTCTCTTCAGCCCCTTCACGTGACTGTGTTGTTATTCTAGGCAAGTGCAGTGCACTTGGAGGAAAAGGAAACAAAAAGGGACAAAAATCAGCCAAGTGGAAGTCATACTGCCCCTACAGTGCAAGTAGAGGGTGAGCCTGGCTGTGCTGTGATCCCATCTGCAGACGTTGTCTGCTACTCACTGAAGAGATTAACAAGAGAGGATTGAAATGAAAAACAGGCGAGAGAGGGCAATCAGAGAGTAATGTTTTGAAATTTCTAACAGTGTTCCGTTGAGTGCAGGAATGTGTAAATGAGGTGGTATTTTTTGTTTCAAAAGCTGAGAATTTCAGATTTTTTTTAAAGTCATAGTGCCTTCAATCATTTCACTTTACACCCTGCACTTCAATTTTTATTATTTTTAGTATATCTGACTAAGTCTGTAATAAATTTTTCAATATGAAACACATCTAAATTGTAGAATTGTACTTTATCCTATAGTCTTCGTGTGGGTGAAATGCATAGACTCCAAGAAGCTTCATTGAAACGCTTGAACAGTCAGATAAGGGAAGCTTTTTCTTATTTGTATAAACTGGATTTAAGCCCAGGTACAAACTTTGATTGGAGGTTTATTCTGTGTTCCACAGTTCAATTTATACAAAGCTTGTGAAATTCAACTTATTTTCACGCTGTTACAGTTGTTAGCTCATGAGTTTTGTTCATTTGTTAAAACCATGTATTTAACAGTAGATCTATAGTGCTGTCCAAAGAAAAGGCAGTAGCTGCTAGCTAGCTAGTTGTTTGCTATTATCGTGACTTTTTCCCTCCCAGTTAATGAAAGGGAGCAATCATACTACAAGAAAGAACTCACCTCCTATAAAGTGTTGTCCTGTTTTTGTGAATATTTATTTATTTATTTCTTCGTTCATGGGATGTGGGCATAACTGGCTGGCTCAGTATTTATTGCCCATCCCTAACTGCCCAAAGGGGAGTTAGGAGTCCACATTGCAGCGAGTCTGGAGTCACATGTAGAACAGACTAGGTAGGGATGGCTGATTTCTTTCCCTAAATGGCATTAATGAACCTGACAGGTTTTTTGGGGCATTTGATAATGGTTTCATGGTGATCATTGATGCCAGAATTTTTATTTTAATGAATTTAAATTCCATCATCTGCCATTTGAACCTAGATCCCCAGTACATTTCCTGGATCTCTGGATTAATAATCTTACGATAATACCAGTAGGCCATCACCTTCCCTAGGTTTTAGCACCTAGTAGAGGTCACAAGAAAGCAAACTTTACATTAAATGTAACCTGTCCTAATGCCTCCCTAATTTCTTTTTGACTTGCACTAAATTTCTTTTTAAGAGGTTAGATTTTTATAACTTAATCATGAATGAGAGCAGAAATGCCTTATTTAAAAATCATATCCATATACCTGCTAAGCATTGCCACTAAAAACCAAACTGCCATTTATTTTACTAGGATTAAATCTTGAATAATACTTTCTTCTCTGAGTAAAGTTTTATTCCATTGATTGGTTAAGCCATACCAAGGTTAATTTACCAGTCATCCTTCTGTAGCTCTTTGATTTTAAGGTTTCTGATCCTTGTTTTCACATTCCTCCATGGTCTCACCCTGGCATCTCTGCAATCTCCCACAGTTTTGCAGTCATCCAAGATCTTTGCCCAGCTTGTCTGCCCTGTTATACGTCTGATTGACATTTCTGCACCATTGGCAGCTATGCCTTCAGTTGTTAGATGCTATGAGTGAAGTTGCTTCCTTAAATTTCTCCACCTGCCCTCATTTTGCCTATTCCTTAAAAACTACTATTTTTGATAAGCACCTAAAGTTGTTTCACTACATTGTGCAATCTAACTAGGGTGATAAATGCTCATATGCTGACAAGTCTCCAGGTTGTTATCAAAGCGCACGACTTCTTGCAAGTGAAGCTGTAATTGGGCATATTCCCTCCACTCATGAGCATTTTTCAGCACGGAAAATTGGATAATAATCAGGAAAGGAACCTGGTCAGTGATTCTCTTCTCATTTCACCCTACACACTTCTCCCAGTTTGGTCATGCTTGACTAGTTGTAGAACCCACCCGGTTCCTATGAACCAAAACTGGGGTATCTCTTGGTCTGCCTGGCTTGATACCACCCATACAACATCTTGATATACTGTACATAAAACACTCACTTAGTGCTGCAACTCCAAACGTCTGTTGTGTCCACTTGATGGCACTGTCTCCGCAACGAGTTGGTCCAGAACACTTCCTTTTATGGTAATCAGTCAAACAAAGGCAAACTCCAGTTTAAAGCAGATTCACGCACAAAGAATGTAGCCATGAATGAGTGTACAAATGTATACAATTACAAAATAAGCTATCGATTACTTATCTGAATGACAGTAACACTTAGCAATAAGAGTATAAATTACTAATGTAATTAATTTAATTGAATGTCCAGTTTGAAACGATGATAAAGTTGAATTAATGAGGAATGACCAAATTTTTCCAAAGTAAATCTTTTGCTTGTTTTCTGTCTCAAATCTCTGAACCCTCTCTGAACTCAAGTCAAAAATACTTACAGCATCTCAGATTGAAGGTCCTGATTATGGAAATCATTATGTTTTTACAATGCTGCCACTGCTGCTTGTCGCTTTTCCTGCCTAGAGATCTGTTATTTGTACGCTGTGCTCATCTATCTTTTACTGTACCTCATCTGTAACAGTTCCGTAGCATCCATCATTCAGTTAAGCCTTGGGTTGACCCCTCTTTCCACTGCCCTCCACTTTGTCCAAGAGATTAATATTTAATACTACTCCATCCCCTCTTGAAGGTATTGACACTCTGCTAGTTCCAGCTCTCTGAACTTTGTCCTCCATATGTCTTCAAGTTGTCATGATTTTTCTGTTCCATTATCTCTGATTGTCAGCAACTTGTAGAACTAAGAATGGAGAAAGTGGCATGTGCAGGCATTTCTGCACATGGTCAAAATCCTAATTCACTCACTCTGGCTGACATCAACTAATTTCCACAGACTGTGGACCAGATTTTAACTTGAGGGATTCCAGTTCTTAAACCTGTGCACACGCTGCATCATGCTCCCAACATCACCTGGAGGCACATTTGATAACCATCTACAACTGCTGCCTGCTTGGCAACCGCCATGTTGGAAGCTACTGTTGTCCTGCCAATTTGAGCAGACAGCTGCCCAGAGGACCAGGAGATCAGGAGACAGCAGCATTGTACAACATGGTAACGAACACTGCTCACTCATGTCGGTGCTGTCTGGCTGCGCAGATACTTCTCAAAGCTATCTGAAAAGAAATTTATTCAGACTCCACAGACTACACTGACAGCTGTGCAGTGGGCATGTGCAGGACAATTCAAGTTTGCCAGGGTACATTTTGAAAGTTTCCTTCTGTTCCAAGAAGACCCCTTTCAAAGCCCCCTAAGGCTCTGTTAATTGGATGTGAGCATCTTCCCTTACTCCCTCTGCATAACTGGCCTGTTGAAATATTGGAAATATCCCAGAGGCATTGGGAGTTTAAAACTCATTTTTCAAAATCCAACAGTCACAGGCCCTTTGAAAATTCCAGCCTGTAAGCCACATCCAGACCTTTAATGGTCAATGTGATTCAGCTACTCACTGTAAGTACACTGACCTAATAGCAAAGCCTGCCCTACACTTTCTTCAAAAAAAAAAATCAGGCAGTTAAACTTATTGCACTTTGAAAACTTTTTTGGTTGGGTTTTCTGTTCTTCAAGGCCTGAACTGTTAGGTTTGGGAAGCTGAATCTTTCCTACGCAAGTATTCCTAGCTTTTAAGTAATGTATTGTTACACAGAATAAGTTTCAATACCAGCTACCCTTCCAATATCCCTCACTGGAAGTTTCCAAAAATCATCAAAGACAGAAATTGCATCCGTCTTCTGCACTAGTTGCTTGAGTTGGACTTGGCCATTGCTGAACTAAAGATAGTTGCACGTCCACATTAGAAACTATAACATATTCTGTGGCTCAAAACAATTAGTTGTGAGAAGTGTGAAGTGAATAAGAGATTCCTGCCTCCAGTTTCCCAAGACCACAAATGTGTCTTTTGTGTCGTATTTCTCACTTCAAGTAATATGGATCTGCTAACCCTATTTTTTGAATGAAACTCTGAATTTCATTCACCCCATGCAACTTTCAGCTGATGGTTAATCATTGATGTTATTAATGCCTCTTCCCATGGACGTGGAGTGGAGCATTGCTCAGAGCCCTCTGTGTAACACTGCCTTCTTCCCTCCCTCACTATTTCCCTGTAGCTATGTCTGCCCATTCTCCACATGATGCTGGCCTTCTGTTGAAAGTAAGTAGGTAAGGGAAGATGACTGACTAAATATGCTTCTCTGTTTCCAAAGCTGACCTGTTTGCACCTTGTGTTATGAGTTGCTGCCATTTGTTCAATGAAGTGGTCATGAAGAGATTCATCCTGTTTGTTCACCTCCACACAACCCTTCTGCATTGGACAACAGTGCAGTATGCTCAGTAGGTGGAAGAAGAGCAGTTGGTATTCTGTCACTGGACTGCCTTCTGAATTCTACATGTAGGATTCCACCCTCGCCCTCCCCCCACCCACCCCCCAACCCCGCAGCAGATGGTACCTTTTGATCTGGTGCTTTAATGCTCCAGATGAGACTGTGGCTAGTGGCCATTACCTGATATTTATAGGTGTGCACTTGGCTGAAATCACTTTGTTGCCCTCTTCCAAAACTTCCAGGAAATCTGCTGTCCAAATGTTGTGCACCTATTTAAATAATGGCTGCAGCAAACCACTTGGAAGAAGGGTGTTTTTGGTGATATCATCCTGCATGTGTCTGTGCTCTGCTTGAGATATCACAGCCAGTGACTGAAAAGCTCTGATTATTGAGATCAAACACAGCAAGTCAAACTGAACACAGATATTTGGAAATCTGTCTGGAGTACTATGTTAACCCCAGGAGAAACAACCCAAATGCCCGTCAGTAAATTCTGTATACAAAGTTACATTTTGCATGTTATTTTTTAGACGACAAACGTTGTCACATACGTAATGCTCTATAATTTTCTTCATGAGCATTTTGCGAGAGCTCATTTTGGTGTGAAAGGTGTCGAGGTTGCCGTGGACACCATGTTATTTTGGCTCTGTGAAATACCTGGTCGTTGTCCTTGCCAGATACACCATGATGCGTCATCACCGGAGGGCTGGTGGAAAAAAAGGGCCAGAGGTGGACAGGATGCACTGGAGAAAGTGGCTGAGTAAGCAGTCTCACCACTTGTGCAGGCACAAACTAACACTAGCACTGACCAACAGGCACATGTCAATGACGCCAGCAGTGGAAAAAGTCATACATACTGGCCGTTGGTGTACGAGTTGGCATTTACTTCCAGCTGTTCCTGATATCTAGCCAACCACCATCAGGGCTTAGTGTAAATGGAAAC